AATTTTATATGAACTGTGTGTGTACATGCATAATAATATTTTGTTTTTTGTTTTTGGAATTATATAATTAATGCTCCACTCATTGGTTCGTTGAGTGATACAGAGCTAAATTGAAGTGGAGATTAGGTCTGAAGGAGTCGTTCTTAATCCATGAAAATTATGTTGATCTTCCATTTTACACATCATAATATATATATCGTACGCATACCTGAAATGAAATTCGGAATCGATAACGAAAAGACCTACCTTGAGTTTAAACATCGCGCTATAATTAACAAAAATCCAGTGGCATGGAGAAAATCTTTCCAACGTTGTTCATCTCAGTCAATTCTAAATTTGTTTTTTTTTAAAAATTTTTTTTTAATACACTTGTTTTGAATAAATTCCTCGTTTCCCTTCAGGCTCGGTACATTCTTCTGTCCCGGCTTGCCCCTTTTGAATCTGGTCAAACTGTTCATGCTGGTGTACTTCCGGTGCTGGACGGTGCTGTGCTATAATGTGCCGGAGGAGAGGATCTTCAGGGCGTCGAGGTATGAGATAGGAAATAGCGCTGGTGGGAGGGGGGTGAATCACTGAAGCATACAATGATTTTCCCAACGTATACAGCAGCTCACGGCAGTTCACAGTTCACGTCTAGAAATAATGCTTACATTTACTATTTTAAAGTATTTATTTTTAAAGTTTGATAAGTTTGTCTTGAAGTTATCGTTACACTGAAGCACCTTAGAATTTTTGGAGATTTAGGACATTTTATTTTAAATGCAATTTCAAAACAGAAAATAAAAAAAATAAAAAATTATTGTAGCATTTTGCTAAACAAAAGTTAAGTCCCCTCCAACATTTGATTTAGATCCACCTTTCGCGCTGATTGATACTGACTTAATTCTTTATTCGATTCGCCAGGTCCAACAACTTTTACTATGCGCTTCTGCTTGTCATGCTTTTTTTGTGCATGCTACCTCCCCTATTCGCCATTGTCATCATTGAGCCATCGCCGCAGTGTGGGCCCTTCAGGTAAACGTCTGTAAATAGGCTACAAGGCTAACAATGCAAGGCTTTATTTGTTCATTTTTTAAATGAGGGATGAGTTGGTTAAAAAAAATATATTAACATTTGTGTGTGTCTGTGTGGCACTTAAAGATGCCAAAAGGGGTATTTTGAAAATAATAATGAAATTTGAGATTAAAATACTTCGTTCTCCATTACTAGATTGTTTCCAATTGTTTCCAATTGTTCGTTTTGTTTATTTGTTCTGTGCGTCCTCTGGTGACTCTTGCGGTTTGTTCCTCAGTGGCCGACAGCGTATCTACCAAGTGTTGACTGAGACTATGGAGAGTCAGTTGCCGGCGTCACTGAACTCAGTCCTTCAGTACGCCGCCTCACCTGGTGTGATATTGCCAGTCTTCATGCTGTTGGGGTAGGTCAATCCATTGGCACATTGATGTTGGGGTAGGTCAATCCATTGGCACTTTGATGTTAGGGTAGGTCAATCCATTGGCACATTGATGTTAGGGTAGGTCAATCCATTGGCACCATGATGTTAGGGTAGGTCAATCCATTGGCACATTGATGTTAGGGTAGGTCAATCCATTGGCACCATTATGCTAGTGCAGGTCAATCCATTGGCACCATGATGTTAGGGTAGGTCAATCCATTGGCACCATGAAGTTAGTGCAGGTCAATCCATTGGCTCCAATGATGTTAGGGTAGGTCAATCCACTGGCACAATGATGTTAGGGCAGGTCAATCCATTGACACCATGATGTTTGGGTAGGTGGCTCATTGGCACAATGTTGTTTGTGGAACATCATCGTCTTACCAAAGGTCTAACGTGTATACATGCTTAAGGTTACCAGCTTTTTATTTAAGGCTACAAGGTTTATATTTTAGGTTACTAGATTTATATTTAGATTGCTAATCTTATTTTTTTTTTACTACCTTTTTACTTCAGGTTAATAGCGTTATACTTTAGATTACTAGCTTTATACTTAAGGTTACTACTACCTTATTTCTTTAGGTTTCTAGCTTATACTTTAGGCTATTAGCTTTATACTTTAGGTTACTGCTTGCTTTATACTTTAGATTACTAGCTTCATACTTTAGGTTACTACTAGCTTATTTCTTTAGGTTACTAGCTTTATACTTTAGGTTAACAGCTTTATAACTTAATTTATTAGCTTTATTCTTTAGGTTACTAGCTTTAAACTTAAGGCTACTACTAGCTTTATTATATAGTTAAATAACGTATATTTTAAATTACTAGCTTTATACTTTAGATTAATAGCTTTATATTCTAGATTACTAACTTTATACTAAAGTTTAAAAGCTTTATAATTAACGCTACTGTCTTATACTTTAGGTTACTAGCTTTATACGTTAGGTTACTAGCTTTTCACTTTAGATTACCAGCTTTATAATTTAGATTTCTACGTTTATACTTCAGGTTATTAGCTTTATACCTAAGGTTATAATTTATAATTTAGATTACTAGCTTTATACTTTAGGCTACTAGCTTTATACTTTAGGTTACTACTACCTTATTTCTTTAGGTTACTAGCTTATACTTTAGGCTATTAGCTTTATGCTTTAGGTTACTACTTTTTTATACTTTAGATTACTAGCTTTATACTTTCGGTTACTACTAGCTTTATTGTTTAGGTTACTAGCTTTATACTTTAGATTACTAGCTTTATGCTTAAGATTTCTACGTTTATACTTTTGGTTACTAGTTTTATACCTAAGGTTTCTAGCTTTATACTTAAGGTTTCTACTTGCTTTATATTTTAAATTACTAGCTTTTATACTTTAGGCTACTACTTGTTTTATACACTTTAAGTTACTAACTTTATACTTTAGGTTTCTACCAACTTTATACTTTCGGTTACTAACTTTATAATTACTAGCCTTATACAGTAAGGCTTCCGAGAAAATATTATCGGAATGATGTTTGGGTAATGCTTTGATAGTATGCAGATAAAAAATGTTTTTATGGTAACAAGTAAATATTTATGTTGGTATAAGCTCTGATGTTAAAATCAGTGATTATTTCAGAAATTTTCCCCCGGGGAAGGGGGAGCACTTAAGATTTTTCGGGGGGGGGGGGGCAGTGCCAGCAATGGCAGTTATTTTTGGACATACTTTTGTTAACTCGGGGGGGGGGGCACTTGGCTTCCCCAGATAGCTGAAAGAAACCCTGGTTGTAATGGTAGCAAAGTGTAGAAGTAGCTTGTGTTGACGACACTATCCACGTTCGTATGATGTAGCCAAAAAGTGCACAGGATTGTCTATCCTATTTAATTCCCCCACCCCGTGGTAACTATTCTTAGATTCTTGTTGCCTCTATGCTTGCAGCACCAGGCTCATCTGTGGAATGTAATTATTTGTTGTTGATAATAATAAGAGACAGCCACTTACAACGCGGCTTTACAAAATTGTGTCAAAACTGTGTTTCAGGATGACGATCTACTACCTGCTGTCGGTCAGCCATTCTCTCAAGGACGCGAACAGCGAACTACGTCACCAGTTAGAGTATGTGAGTGCAGTGTTAGAATAGTGTTGGAATAGTGTGTTAGAATAGTGTGTTAGAATAGTGTGTTAGAATAGTGTTAGAATAGTGTTTTAGAATAGTGTGTTAGAATAGTGCTGGAATAGTGTGTTAGAAAAGCGTGTTAGAATAGTGTGTTAGAATAGTGTTGGAATAGTGTGTTATAATAATGTGTTAGAATAGTGTGTTAGAATAGTGTTAGAATAGTGTTTTAGAATGGTGTGTTAGAATAGTGTTGTAATAGTGTGTTAGAATAGTGTGTGTCAGAATAGTGTTTTAGAATAGTGTGTTAGAATAGTGTTGGAATAGTGTGTTATAATAGTGTGTTAGAATAGTGTGTTAGAATAGTGTTAGAATAGTGTTTTAGAATAGTGTGTTAGAATAGTGCTGGAATAGTGTGTTAGAAAAGCGTGTTAGAATAGTGTGTTAGAATAGTGTTGGAATAGTGTGTTATAATAATGTGTTAGAATAGTGTGTTAGAATAGTGTTAGAATAGTGTTTTAGAATGGTGTGTTAGAATAGTGTTGGAATAGTGTGTTAGAAAAGCGTGTTAGAATAGTGTGTTAGAATAGTTTTGGACTGATAGCTAACACGTTTATAATACTTATGGTTTTGGTTGGATAAATTAGAGATCTGTTGCAGGAAAAGTGAGTTAGACGTTCTTGATCATGTAGCGTTTTCTTTAAAAGATTTGGAGATATAGCATCATGGCGTCATTAGCGTGTTTTGTTCATGGTTCCGATAGGGTCAAAACCCTGTTTCCAATAGGGCCAAAACCCTGGATCCGATGTGGTCAAAACCCAGGTTAGGGATAAGTTTAGGGTTCAGACTAGGTTTAGGGACATATTTAGGACATAAGTTCTCGGGTCGCGGCAGCCAAGATGGCGGCCAAGATGGCGGCCACGGTGCTATTTCTCCAAATTTACCAAGACTTTTTTAAAAGTACTTATTCCTGTTTCAATCTTTATCTTCGAAGGAACGAACCGAAGGAAGAAGGAAAGTGTACGCCATGGCTGACGGTTAGTTGTAAATTATAGAATTAGTCTATGCTATACTTTTCTATGCTATACTTTTCTATGCTATACTTTTCTATGCTATACTGTTCTATGCTATACTTTTCTATCCTATACTTTTCTATGATATACTTTTCTATCCTATACTTTTCTGTAACATACTTCTCTATGCTATACTATGTAAAGAGCAAATGACCTGTAAGCATCAAAACAAAAAATTTTACACAGAATTTCTCCAGAAATATTTTTCATTCGCGTTCAAGATAATAAAATGTCATGTTTATAATCTCGCATCAAACTAACTTCCTTTTTTTAGTAGCAGCAAATTATGATTGTAATTTAATGTTGACATTTTAACGTTTCAATTCCACTCATTACAAAGACAACGCCTTGTTTCAATGATTGCAGCCAGGCACGACACGAAAGGCCGCCAGCAGAGTAAAGGCTGGGGTGCCGCCAAGTCAAGTTTTGTCAACAAGAAGCCAAAACATCTGGCTAACACAGGTGAGACTGGGCCAAAGACATCTGTAGCATACATGTGAGACTGGGCCAAAACATGTGTATCATACAGGTGAGACTGGGCCAAAACATCTGTATCATACAGGTGATACTGGGCCAAAACATCTGTATTATGCAGGTGAGACTGAGCCAAAACATCTGTGTCATACAGGTGAGGCTAAGCAAAAACATATGTATCATACAGGTGAGACTGGTCCAAAACATCTGTGTCATGCATGTGAGACTGAGCCAAAACATCTGGCTAACACAGGTGAGACTGGGCCAAAACATCTGTGTCATACAGGTGAGGCTAAGCAAAAACATCTGTATCATACAGGTGAGACTGGGCCAAAACATCTGTATTATGCAGGTGAGACTGAGCCAAAACATCTGGCTAACACAGGTGAGACTTGCCAAAACATCTGTATCATACAGGTGAGACTGAGCCAAAACATCTGTATCATGCAGATGAGACTGCGCCAAAACATCTGGCTAACACAGGTGAGACCGGGCAAAAACAACTGCATCATACATGTGAGACTGCGGACTTCCATCTTATGGACATGGGAGAAAGCAGAAGATGTTTCCATATTTTAAATTTGTTGTGCTATATTTTTTGTTTCGATTGGGGATGTGAATTCACAAGATCCTTATTGTCGTTTTGATGACATGACATCGTTAAGGAATAGAATAACTGTAATAACAAATGAAAGTACCCGGAGAGTTTCAAAGGATCTTTGTAACATCAGGCGCGTCATAGCTTTATACAGATATCCATAACAGGATATATCTCTAGCAACATATGCATTGGTTTAATTTTTGTTATATGAGGTTATCTATACCAATGTGATTTTTTATATTGGTGTTCTTTCGTTTGTTATGTTGTGGCTGCTGTTTTTTTTTTTTTTAATTTTATGTATTTTCTTTTAAAGGAAATGTTTTAAATCTATAAACTTGACCCTCTTTATTTCCTTCCATCCCAGCTTTGAGTTCACCGCAAGCGCTAATTATTTCATTCTATCACAGCTTTGAGGTCACCGCAAGCGCTCATTCTTTCATTTCATCACAGCTTTGAGTTGACCGCAAGCGCTAATTCTTTCATTCCATCGAGTTCACCGCAAGCGCTCATTCTTTCATTTCATCACAGCTTTGAGTTGACCGCAAGCGCTAATTCTTTCATTCCATCGAGTTCACCGCAAGCGCTCATTCTTTCATTGCATCACATCTTTGAGTTTACTGCAAGCGCTCATTCTTTCATTCCATCCCAGCTTTGAGTTTACTGCAAGCGCTCATTCTTTCATTCCATCCCAGCTTTGAGTTTACTGCAAGCGCTCATTCTCTCATTCCATCCCAGCTTTGAGTTTACTGCAAGCTGTCCGCTCTTCACAAGGCACCCAGGGCAAAAACAAAGTGTTCCCCAGTGACAACGGAAGAAAGGCTCCTGTCAACGGCCCACCTCCCGTAGCCAAGAAACCAGCGCATCCTTTGTTGGCAAAACTCCGGGCTGCCAAACAAACGCCAAATATTCCAGTGGCTGTGATTCAGGGGAAGCAATCAATCAAAGCCAACGGCGCGGCCACCAGAGAAAGGCAAGTCTAACATCAAGTGCTAAATTATATAAACCGGGGTATTGTATATTTAGTTCCTTGTATGATTATGATGGTACTAATAAGAGTGATATTGACTTTTTCTCAGGAACAAGAACGCTTCCCAGACTGCTTTTAGAGCAGCCATTTTGGATTTTAGTCGGAAAGCGGCCAGAGAGCAGAGCGCTGGCGCTGAAGACGATTACGTCACAGAACATGACCAACACAGGCCACCAGCTAAACGGGCGCCTGGCGATCAACGTGCGTGGCCTAAACCTGCAGCCCGGACGCAAAAACTGAACCCTGGGAATAACTACCGTGTTGCAGCGAAGACAAGCAGACGTGAACACAGCCGCGATGAGATGGAATCCGAAGAGTTAGAGGAAGACGAGCATTCGGATTACGACAGCGCTATGGAAAACGGTGGGGACATTCCAAGTAAGCGTAAGGCTAGTAAAGCCGTAAGTCGATTTCGTGAGAACACCAGACTCCATGAGATCGACACGTCTTCCTCTCATGGTGATGTTACTCTTCGGGGAGGTACGCGTTCCAGAAATGGGAAGCCTCCGGTAAAAACTCCTGCTGCGATTAGCAACCGTCTCGTCTCCACTAGGAGCAAACCAGGAACTTCTCCAGACAACAGTGGGAGGAGTCGAAGAGAGCCGTCAGACGCCATCGGCAAGGCTTACGTCCTATCACAGGCCATCACCAGGGGGAGGACAGCCCCGGAGAGGAGGAGGCGCTTGAGCACATCGTCCTATGTTGATGAGAGCGGGTACTTGTCTCCATTCAATGAGGCAAGCGAGGACGACGATGATGACGAGCAGGAAGAAGAGGAGGAAGAACAGGAGGGGGAAGGAGAGGAGGAAGCAGACGAAGATGTCGACGAAGGGCGTCGTCGTGAAAGTGGCGCCGAGGAACAGATTACTGAAGAGATTGCAGATGAGGTCAACGCCAGCGATGATGATGACGACAATAATAATTATACCTCTGTTGACGTCGAAGTCAACCAAGGACCTGGAAAAGAAGAGATGGGTCTGTCACGTGGGGCGGGTCGTGCTGCCAAACTTATGGGCGTTCGACTACCCTTGGCCAATTTAATTAGTAAAACTAAACGTGGGGACCCCCAGAAAGCTGTATCAGTTCCGAAACCAGCACCCAAGAAAGCGAACCATTCCGTCGTATTTGAAACCACTGCCGACGTGGAGATCGTGAACGAACAAGACAACAAAAATGGTGGCGCACGTCGGCCATGGAGGAGACCCCAACAGCCGAAACGGGCTTTGGTCAGGCTGACATCTAGCGGGTCGATAACAGGGCCTGTGCCGGAAATAAAAGTGGAAGATTACAGCGAGGCATCGAGGTCATCTCAGGGAGGGGAGGCGTCGAGATCAGCTCAGGGAGGGGAGGCGTCGAGATCAGCTCAGGGATGGGCGGCGTCGAGATCAGCTCCGGGAGGGGCGGCGTCGAGATCAGCTCAGGGAAGAGAACCAATCCGAGCCGACCATTCTCAGGCGGGGAATTCTCAACAAAACGGAAAATCTAAAAAAGTAGGAACATCAAACGGAAGGGAACAAGCCAAACAAGTCGTGTCATCAAATGAAGAGGAGGCATCAACTGATGCGGGGGCGTATAAGAAAGTAGGGGCCATCAAGAAACTGGCCAAAATGAAACAGATGAGACACTCTGGTGAGGGAGGGTCACTGAAGCAAAACGAAATTTCTGAGGAAACTGGAACCCCTGACAATAATGTGATATCTCAGGAAAATAAACCGTCGAAGAAAGTTAATCCACCCGTTCCAATGGAACAACCCGATCCAATCGTACCAACTCAGTCATCAGTGCCATCCAAGAAATTGGGACCGTTTAAAAAGGCCGTGACTTCAAAAGAAATCAAACCATTATCGCCTATTCCCGGGCCATCTCGGCCACTTAAAAATGAGACACCATCCAAGAAAACGGAGACTTTGAAAAACAACAGAACCATCCACTTAGTGAAAGAACAAAGCGGTGAGATCAGCGTGAACAAGCAACGGGTCAAGAAAACGACCTTCGATCAAACTGTTTCTGAGGAGAGAAAAAGATTTGATAATCGCAAAAGCGCGCACATTCCTGATGATGTTGACAGTTCCAATACCGGGAATATCAGATTTGTCTCTAACGGGGAAGACCCCAAGGAAAATGTCGGGGGTAAAATATCAAAAATAAATAATGGGGAAAATACCGAATTGATAAACAGACACTTTAAGAAGGCTTTGCCGGGTGTAGGTAAGATAATGGGTATAAAAGACAAAACTAAGAGTCTCGATGCTGTGAGCGAAGACAGCAGTGGGGGGAATGCATTTGTTCATCCGGGAAAGACAATATGGGGAATGGGGAAGAAGGCACAGAGTAAGAAGATTTCACTTGTTAAAGACAACGAGCCTACTGTCGAGGGGAGCAATGGAGATGAAAACGCAGACGATGATGAGGAGGCAGTCATCGAGCACGACAAACGGAAAGAAGAAGACATTGACGATAATGGAAACGACGACAACAGCGAAGAAGAGGGAAGTAATGACACTGACGGAGATGTCGAGGAAGAACTTGGGGAAATTTGTGATGAAAGCGAAGAGGAGTTAAATGATGGAAATAAGGCGGAAGATGTTGACGAAAGAGTAGCAGAAGATGAGGAAGAAAAAGATGATGAAGATAAAGATGAAGTGGGTGAAGAAGAGCTGAAAGAGGCTAATGAAGAAAATGATGAGGAAAAAGAGTTAGAAGATGATGATGAAGAAAATGAAGAAGAAAATGAGGCAGAAGATGAAGCAGACGATGAGTCAGAAAAAGAAGAAGACAGCGATGAAGAAAAAGAAAAATCAGATGAGGAAGAAAAAGAGAGAGAAGATGAAGAGCACAAAGGCACTGAAGATTATATCAAAAGCCGTGCTACTATCGAACCCAACGCCCCGGTGAACAACGTGGTGAAGAGAGACAAGGGCATGCCCCGCGACCCACTCATTGTTCCCTCCGGTCCTCCTCACAACCACGACACCGACAAGAGCTACACGCAAGGCGAAAACGGATCAGCCAAAGCGAGGCTTCTCGCGAGGATGAAGAAAATCGGCCGAACGAATATTCTTTTACGGGAATCGACACATCCTGCTCAATCTCTTGCACTTAAACGGGCAGGTCTCGTGTCCCAAATATCACACCCGGAAAAGGAAATACTAACAGAGGATATGACCTCTGTAACCACAAATAGGGGCAATCCAAGACTTTCCAAAAGAGAGCCTTCTGTGGCCAGCAATTCCGTAGGCAGCGGTAGTATCGAAAATGTTCGATCGGAGAATGGCGAAGAAGAATCTGACCTGGACCACGATCCCAACTCGTTGAATTTCAGTACAGCTAGTTTTGGAGGGCTGACTGATTCTTTGACACAAAGCGCGGGCAATGCGTTCCAAAGTCTCACTGAAGATTACAATGAGAGTGTGAATAGCAGCGTCGGTGATTTCAACGACATTTTCAATTACAGCAGCAACAGCCACGCCGGGGATCCCCGATCCGAATACGGTCGATTCCGAAAAGATCGACCTAGCCTCGTTCCCATCGTGGGTGACGATGAAGTCGCTTCGCGGAGTTATGCGGGAATCTTAGACTTTACTGCTAAAAATAGACAGAACGCCACTCGGGGATTCCCCAATATGAGTTATTCCCAAATAGAGGATGACGTAACCGTGGTGCCTGTCATGAAGGAAAAACAAAGTGGGTTCACCATTCTTGCCATCACCAACGGTAACTTAGATCTGAACCACGACGATGTCGTCATTGATTTTAGTGATGGTGCCACAGCTCAGAACGAGGCTCCACGAGGCAGCCGTGTTTGGGGTGCAGCCAATGACAGCCATAGATCATTGGCGGGTAGTTCAACCAATGACGAGGGAAAAAATTCATCTGGATTTGCAAAACTGATGCAGAAATTTTGAACTTGAAGAAACATCGGACAAGTTTTTGTAATTAGCTTTGTCACATTAATTTTTTTTTTTTTTTTTTTTGAATCGTTAAATGAAAAACACCACCAACAACAAAAATTTGTAAAGAAAAAAAGTTTAAATGATTTCCATTTGTCAACGGTTCTTTGTCTCTTTGTGTCAAACCTCCTGATCCATGTTCTTCCTTCCTCTACAGAACCGATGAACTTTGAATTGTCCAACACATCTTTATCTCCGGTGACAATATAATATTTGATCACTTTTTGCCCCAGGGCTAACTACTTTAGTGCCCTCTGGTGACAATATAATATTTGATCACTTTTTGCCCAGGGGCTAACTAATTTAGTGCCCTCTGGTGACAATATCATATTTGATCACTTTTTGCCCAGGGGCTAACTACTTTAGTGCCCTCTGGTGACAATATAATATTTGATCACTTTTTGCCCAGGGGTTAACTAATTTAGTGCCCTCTGGTGACAATATCATATTTGATCACTTTTGTCCCCTGGGGATAACTACTTTAGTGCCCTCTTTGTTGCAGGATGACGGACAATAGTGGATTAGAAATAAAGTGTATTTATACGTCTATATATAATGAAACTGGGCAAAGGAATCTAGGGTCCATGCTGTTACACGGAAACAAAATTATGAATACTTCTCTGCATTCTTTTGATTTGGTCAAGCTTCACAAAACTGGGTTAGTGTGTCGACAAGTTTTTTTTGTGTGAAAAATTAATAACAGGGACGTGAAAGACAGAACTAGGTGACGAGAAAATGTCCTAGTCTTGTTTGGACGAGTTATCAGAAGAAATTCAGAACTTGTCCCAGATATTTGACACAATGGGGATGTCGGTCCACTGACCTCCTTTTAGTTTATGTATAATCATCACTCGTGAAAACGTGGGCAAACTTTGATGTTATACATCACAGCGTTAAAATAGTCCGGCAAATATTACAAATAAATGGTGGAGACTGAAAGGTGAAATAAAAACTATCACGGTAGACTTTCTATGAGATTCACCATTAGCTCCCCTTATAGTCTAACTTTTTTTTAATGAGATTCACCGTTAGTTCAGCTCGTCTAACTTTGTATGAGATTCATCATTAGTTCAGCTTATAGTCTAAGTTTGTATGAGATTCATCATTAGTTCAGCTTATAGGTATAACTTTGTATGAGATTCATCATTAGTTCAGCTTATAGTCTAAGTTTGTATGAGATTCACCGTTAGTTCAGCTTATAGTCTAACTGTGCATGATTTTCCCCTTTATTTTAGCTTATTGTCTAAATTTTTATGAGATTCACCATTAGTCCAGCTTACAGTCTAAATTTTTATGAGATTCACCACTAGTTCAGCTAGCCTAACGTGTTCAGATGGTCAATGCATGGGGTATTTAATATACATCAATTCCAATTTCACGCATTAATTTTTTTTTTCGGTGCTGCATATTTTTCAATGATTTGATTAGCGGCTCGGTAGCTTCCACGCGATATCTGACTCAACCTAAAGCTCTTCACTGCCACGAATCATCATTCTTTTCATTAATTGTTTTACATTTAACACCTAGCGAACAATCACGTGACGTACCGGGAAATAGAACTAAAGTTGAACACAGTTTTTAAAAAAATACTCAATAGATTCGTGATTTCCATTAACTTTAGGTGATCTCCCCATGAATGCGCTATATTTTATCTTCAGGTGACCTCTCTCATAATATGAAAGCGTTTAAATTCAGGTTATCTCCCAGATAATATGACAGCGTTTAACTCCAGGTTATCTCCCCACAGAATATGACAGCGTTTAAGTTATCTCCCCCAGAATATGACAGCGTTTAGGTTATCTCCCCCACAATTTGACAGCGTTTAACTCCAGGTTAACTCCCCCCCCCCCAGAGTATGACAGCGTTTAGGTTATCTCCCACACAATATGACAGCGTTTAACTCCAGGTTATCCCCCCCCCAGAATATGACAGCGTTTAGGTTATCTCCCCCACAATATGACNTTTAACTCCAGGTTAACTTACCCCCACCCCCCCCCCCCAGAATACGCCATTTTTAACTTCACGTGATCCTCTCAAATTACGCTTCTGTTTAACACAATCCACAGCAAGGCGACTTACCAGTCAAACGGGCCTTCCCGTGTTCAGGTGTGAGAATCACTGTCATGTGTGACGTTCTTGTGCCCAATTTACTTTCACTGTGTGTAACATTTCATCTGGTCTACATTTGGTAAGCCCGTCATTTTTTTGTCAATTCAGAAAAAAAAACACACGCGCCATGTAAATTACGAGACGTGACTTCCCCAGCTCGTCACGTGACTTCCCCAACTCGTCACGTGACTCCCCCAACTCGTCACGTGACTCCCAACTCGTCACGTGACTTCCCCAACTCGTCATGTGATTTCCCCAACTCGTCATGTGACTTCCCCAACTCGCCATGTAAATTACGAGAAGTGACTTCCCCAACTCGTCACGTGATTTCCCCAACTCGTCATGTGACTTCGTGCTACGTGTTCTCAGATGTGTATAAAATATATTTTGAAATACATTTCAAAGTAAATAAATATTATCCAATGTCTTTTTTTTAAACGGCATAACTACCCCCACCCCACTTTTTTTTCCCGTCTCCGTATTTTAAGTTTGAATCTTGTGGCTAGAGCAGTTGCTTTAACTAGGAATGTGTGAGCGGCGTCACAACAAAGGGAATAACGTCGGTTGGGGGGGGGGGGGGTGGGGCGGGCCCAAAAAATTGGGGG